ATTTTCTGCATGGTCTTTCTGCATCGCAATATTTATTGAATTTCGCATTGCAACTCCATGGTCTCGGATGTTCCACAGCACAATTTCATATGCATTCCACTATTGCAGATAGATGAACGTGCTTGAAATTTTACTAAATTTGCGAAACTAACGAAAAGTTATCAAGCATCCTTTCTTGTGTCTTTTCAGGTTGTTTTCTCAGGCGAAACATGTATCACAGTTTTCGCATTTATTTTTAAGTAGATGTGTTTCATTGTGAGATGCAAACGATGAATGATTGAACGTTCGCCCATAATCGGATCGTTTGCGTTTGTAAATGAATGGTTCGCCATGCGTTTTCCGGCGTTTTCTATATTTACCGCGACTCTTAAAGCGCGCATTACATCAGGCATAAGGAAGCTCATAATTTTGCTCTTCTGAAAATTTTTATATCATTTGTATTTGTAATTAGCACTCCATTACAGTATTTGCTAATTAATGTAATTTGAAAACTGATCATAGAAATATCAGTGCCATAAAATAAACATATCACATCGCATTTCATTTGAATTACTAGAGACTATTTACCTTTTCTTATATATATTAGAAACGAAAAAGTCAATTTTAATGTTATCTCCCGATATTTCGCCATCAATATTATAGTCACTGGTATGTGGATCAAAGTATGATAAATTGAAGTTGTCAATGTAGTTTTGAAAGCGAACATAGTCAATGCTTTCATTGTTACCACTTGATTCAAATAATTCACTTGGATCGGAAACGTTGTATGAGAGAAGTGTAGTAGGCTGATAAAAGTTGTTCAGAGTGACACTCTGTTCATAGCAGGATAATGAACATATGTGGTAATAACATCTGTATCGAGATTAACTAAAGAGAAAGTTCCGTTACGAGTCAAGGTGAAGCAAAGCAGAAGATTGAACCGAATGATCTGTGTCATCGACATGATAAAGAATAAGGTCAAATGCAAAAATGATCAATGAGCAATTTTCGATCACCACTTTCCCATTTGCTGTTATAAGCGAAGCTGTCGGTGACTTCCTCGGAGTAGTCATTACCTACCATTGTCACTTGTTCTCGGTCACTGTCGTCGACGGTATCAAATGAATGGTGAATATTTGGATTATAACCAGGATAATGAACATATTGAGTGGTGTGATCGTCGTAGTCATTATAAGTTAAAGTGATGCAAAACAGAAAATGGAACCATATGATCTGTGTTATTGACATGATGAAGAATAAGGTAAAAGACAAAATTTTTAAAATGGTATGAATGCTCGAATGGAAGCCTTTTTATATCACACTGAATGGAACTGAACGACCAAAGGTTCAAACAGCTTTTGATCTGTGCGATTCGCAATATTTCTCATATTTTCTTTTCTCTTTCATCCAAATTTCCTATCTCTGACTTAGTAGTTGATGAATATGCTTTTAATCCCCGACGAAAACCTCATGAAAAGGATTGCAGATAAATTGAAATACAAAAAAACAATGTTATAACATGCAAAAAATATACGAAATAATCAGAGCATTACTGTAAATTTTGCAAAATATATCACCAAAAGAAAAAGAAAAAAAAACTGTTTTTTGAATCACGGCTGTTTTTTTTTTCAGTTTTTCTTTTTTTTGAATCTTATAATACAACTTATAACATTTTTTTTTGGCTTTACCAACGTCATTAACCTTAACCAAAATACATATCGACCGATTATTCTTCTAGTTTACGTTAGTTATCATCATAATGATGAACAATGATAACTGGTCACTCTTTCGCAAAATATATTGAGTAATAAGTTGGAAGTCATAGAAGTTAGAAGTTATCCTGACTTGTAAGGATATTTCGTTGACGAAAATAATCAAGTTCGATATCATTTTAGCAAAAGTTCAGTGTCCAGAAAACATCTGATATGGAGAATTTCAGATATATATATATATAATGAGAAATTCCAGAAAATATCTTCCATGGAAAATTCTAAAAAATATACTATGAAAATATTTGAAAGGGATCTACTTCCGGAAGTTCGTTCTGACCAATTTCCAGCCAACTTTTGCGCATTATTCCCTTCCAATGCTTCCTGTACAAGTATGGAATAGGGCATAAAAAAACAATTAATGCATTCTTTTAATCATTCATTTTATTTCAAAGTAAATTTGGCCATATAATCGCCAAGAATCAGGTTACTGCTGAGCATATGGTAATGGGCAGTGGTCAACGATTATAATGCTTCAACCAACATTTCTTCCATTCCTTCCGCTTTACAATTGCAGAGCAGCAGATATCCCTTTAATTTCAATCATCACACTATTTCAATGCTGCAAATAGCAGTGAGTTGATCGAATTTCAGTTTCATATAATATTTACGAATGTATAATTAATAGTAATAAAAACAGTAACACTATTTATCTCATTC